GCCAATCAATGGAGGCCATTGGATAATCCCATGGTGTCTGATAAAGCCCGTATCTGACTACGGATTAAAATTGGGATTAGATTGAAATTTGACCAATCAGAGTAAAGCCCGTATCAGACTACGGATTGAGATTGGGATTAGATTGAAATTTGACCAATCAGAGTAAAAGTTACTGAACTTGAGATTAGTAAACTTTACTGTGATTGGTTAAATTTCAATCTAATCCCAATCCCAATCCGTAGTCTAATACGGGCTTAAAAGTTACGTCTGAACTTAAGATTAGTAAACTTTACTGTGATTGGTTAAATTTCAATCTAATCCCAATCCCAATCCATATAATCAGACTATAGTCTGATACGGGCTTTAAGGAGACCGAACTAGGCTTGATTACACCAAACACGGGCAGACATTATTGGAAAATAACGTGAAGAATTATTTAACGCCAGTAATTGATTAAACAATGTGGAAAGATTGCACGACGACCTATGGCTGGCAAATTCTAATTAAAAAAATTCATTGCGAAAAATATTACCTCAGCCAGGGCGAGGTAATATTTTTCGCAATGAATTTCTTTAATTAGAATTTGCCAGTCATCGGTCGTCGTGCAATTTCTCTACATTGGTTATTACAAAATATTGAATAAAAATTGTTGCCACTTGTAGCGCTGGCGTCGCACAAACGGATTCGCTCATGAGTTTACCGATCTTGATCTCACTGGCTCGTAGATAACAGCGTATAACCGTTGTTATCTGGGGGTCGATTCCTGGAACTTGCGAAAATTACAAAAATGCGTGAGAATATTTATAATTTCAACCTGCAAATTCGCTCACTTTTGTAATTTTCACTACTTTCAGAGATGCACAATCCTTAAGCTTTAAGAAATTGGCCAATCACGGCCAAGTATGAGTAGAATACACGATTGTGATTAGTCAATTTCTTAAGGATTAGGGTTTAAATCTCTGTTGTAGACTGGAACTAACCTGATTGGTTAACAACTTTAACGCTTAATATCTCGCTTCGCGGGACAGAGCGACGATTTTGCCTCAGGAAAAAGTTATTTCTCGTTCAAAAACGCGTCAAATGAGTCTATATACTATTAACAATTTGTACCGGTATTGTCAATAAATCTTTTTAAAAAATATATATTCCATGACTTTTGGGACACACCCTGTATATTAAATATCGGTATTTTATGTTTTCAATTCTAGATACAAATAGAGCACAATTTCTTTTTCAAATTCATATAATTAATTGTTCACAAACTTTTCAGAAACTTGAACATCATTACTTTCGGTAAGCAACTCTACGTATAAGTAGTTACGTTATCATATTCATTCAATTCTATAGATAATTTTGTATCCAGTTGAATGACCATAATGAGATACGTTATTGTAGCTCCAGCAATCTAGAAGAATAAATCTTTATTTATTAAACCTCTTCATTATATTGTCATGCGAATAAATACAAGGAAATTTTTTGCTTACAGAGCATATGAGAGGTATATCGATTACATATAATCCTAAAGCAGTGAACGTCAAATTATCATGGACCAGCTGAAGTGAAAAGTGTATCACCTAGATAATGTACATATATTTAATATGAAAATGTTTTTATGTGTATGTGTGTGTACACATACATTATACACACACGCACATGCATAAAAGAATATCTAAAAATATTGTATATTTAAAATATTGGAGTCTTACTTCAGCTCGCAGTGATTTATATTCCAGAAAAGCATCGTGCAAAATGATCGCCATTTGCTTGAACTAAATGTAAAGAAAATAAACATCGTGTTATTCCGATATATACGAAAAAAGTTAAGTGGCTTCGGGCAGAACGTATTCCGATTTCAAAAGTATGTTTCAGTTACAAAGTGCAGAAAAATTATAAGAATTTTACCCTGACGTTTCTCAAAATGGAATAATTATTTCAATTCAGAATATACTTTTCAATTCGACGTTTATCATTATGAAAATTAGTAATACACAATTAGCGTTAATTATTGTATATAAAACACACTGTATATTTATAAATAAGTAAACAATACTCAACTTCATTTCTCGATCGCTGACAAATGTAACTGATGTACAGAAATCGAAGAGTATGGAAGAATATCAGGTGTACATGACTTATTAATGTCTTAATGTTATTCTCGTCTTCTTGTAGATGCCGACGTATATCATAAAGTAAAAAAATCGTAGAAGTCAAAGATATAACGGACATTATGAGAAGTGGCAGACCAAAATTTGTATTTATCTGGTGGCAAAAGTGCATTCGTACTATTACAGCAAGAATTATACCAAAAAGAATAACTAACTGCATTTGTAATTCACTTGTGGCTACAACACTTGTGCCACAACGAAATTGTATTTCTTCGCGCATTAAGAAATCGACTCTCTATTCTTAGCACCATCATCATTAAATTCTTTCGGCTCTATTCCATTTTGTATGCAAATTACAAACTTATAATAATTAATAAATTAGTAGTGGGGAAGCAAGACAATTCTCGTTTTGCGCACGTGTCAAAAAAGAAGCGCTAAAATTTTGTATTTTCAACGCAAAGACTCATTGCGCTTAAGAGTAGTGCTACAAATAGTACTAAAAATAAAAAAGGTTTAACCTGTAGAGATTGAGCCACGTGTTATTTTGAGAGAAAAAGAAATAAATTATTTAAATTAACAGAAAATATAGTTGTTAATTGAATCTTTGTGAGACAGCTACAATTGTTGTACGAATCTCACAATCAGGTCAAAATGATCAAATTTCCAATGTTGGATTAGAGGACCCTACAGGTTAATTGTTAATTGATTAAATCCACATGTAATTTAGACTGCGATATCAATGTAATCAATTGCGATCATGGCAAAATAGATTGTAGTTAAATTACCTTTGTCGCCAATATATACAATCCATGATGAATATGTTGAATCGAACGGATTTTGGTAACTACAGCATTGCTGCGTTTATTAAATAAGTTTGAGCTTGCGGTAAAATCAATATAAGAAACTGACAGATTTTCTCTCGAATGCTGTATCGTAATCTTATTCAGTTCACGGAATCTTAGATATATATCGTTCATGTGATGACTGAACAATCCATCTATCATTGTTACGTACGTTCTGGTGTACCAATTAAAAAAGCAGGTGCATATCATTTGGAATGAATAATCAGCGATTATATTAAAAATGTTTTCCGCCACGTCCAGTAATATTATTATCGCTACCGCAATGTCCTGCAGATGTTTCGCAAAGAAAATATCTCTGTCGGTGAATCGTGCGCCGTACGATCTGAAATATGTAACGAATGTATGCAAATTTAACATTTGTGATTATCTCTATCATTTGGCATTAATTACATGCATGCGTAATAATATTAATAATAATTAAGTACTTGATTAAGTAGTTAAACTTTCACTGTGTCGTTTAGGGATGATTTTTAAACAATTTTAATTAATGCTATGTCTTTTAAAGTAATAGATATTTTTGAAAAGTTTGCGCTGCGTACAACGTTGAATACATGATCACAAACTTGGTTGCATACACTTGGGGGTGTATCCAATCATCGAGCGTGTTTCATGACGCTTGCATGCAACTATAAAGTTATATAAATACATGAATAATATACAATTATTTGACAAAAGAGCAAAGAAACTTACTCAAGTAAGGAATCCACCATAAACATTTCTTGGCGAGGGAAAGAAAATTGTTTTGGACGAAATACAGATGTGCTCACCATAATCAGCAATAGTAGAATCATTAGGGAATACCTTGCTGCTAGCATTACCTTTATGAGAAAACCGTTTTCGCAGTGAGCAGTGCAGATGGTTTGCCACGCTATATGACTCAAAAAGATGAGAAATGCCACGAGCGCAAGACTATATAATCTGCCTATGTAACTCGACAGATTGATTCCCAGGAAACGCGAAACTTTTTCGAAAGATTGACTTGTATAAACTAAAAGTTGCTTTTTCGTTGGATCCATTCAAGTATAATTTTTCTGAAAGTTTTGAATTGGACTCATTGAGAGAAAGAGAGAGAGAGAGAAAGAGATCAATTGATTTACTATTGATATTCGTCAAACATGATATATTGACTTAATATTATGGATAATTCTGTTTACCGTATTCTCGGCTATTATATAACTGTACGTGTCAGAAGTTATACTGACACACTGTACGTGAGGTGATGAGGGGTATGATTTTATCATTACCTTCAATCGTAGTGCTTTATTGATCGCCGAGAAATAGAAGAATCGCGCATTATCGCAACGCAATACGTAATATTATTTATATTGTGGGATTGTTTGTTTCTTGATCTTACGGTAGACATAAAGGTATGTGATAAATTTTCTCAATCAATATGTATACAAGAGTATTAGAACAAATATGTGAAGAATCGATATTGCACGAAACAATGTCTCTTAAAATTCTATACGGCTCAACTTCAAATTAAAACATTATTTTAGGATCTTATCTCTCATACGTAACTTGATTAATCTGTTGTTACACTTTTCAGATGCCACGATTCTTTTCTTTCCCGTTGTCCGAGTCGCCTCTCAAGCCGCGAACGCGATATTTTATAGGCAACGACATTGAGCGCACGCATGCTACTGTGCGATATGTAACGAGAGAAAATTTCAACACGAAAAAAACTTAATAAGATATAAAGCAGTTAAACGATTTGTATTGTTATATAACAAGATTATCATTAAACAAAAAGTCTTTCGATTGCACGATAACATTTTTCTACCAAATTTACTTTTATTAGAATAATAATAAATAATAATAAAATTAAAAAAATATATGTAAATATTTAGGTTTGTTTTATTCGTAATCATAACCATCATCGCAAAATTCGCTCTCGGATGTTGCACGAGACTCGAGCATCTGACCAAGTGACATTTCCGTAGCATCAGGTCCTTCTTCATCAATGTAATCGTCATTGTCATTATCAATGTCATTATCATTGTCATATACTGCAATAAAAAATGAATAAATAATCAAGTTTATGCAGGACACATTTACGTTACTAATATACTAACGATAATCCACGATAAAATGAAAAAGTCTAAAGAAAGATAAATAAAGAATACACAACCAATTTCAGATGTATCCACTACAGGTGTGTCCGTTTCCACTGGACTGATTTCCTTCTTCGTAAATTCTTCGTCCTCTCTTCCGGGTGTTTTACCATATAACTCTTTATCCAACGTTTTCTTTAACTGTTGAGTGTTTGGCTTAATAGAACGGTATTTCTTTGTCAACAAAGCTTCTGCAGACTTTAGTGTAGAATTAACTGTTACCCTAATTGTGCAAGACAGAAAGAAAATTATCACTTATCAATTGTCATCAATCAATTTGATCGCAACTGTAAAATAATTTGTACTAACGGTTTCTTAAAGCTTATCGTGTCTAATTCCGTCGCGACCGTGACGGGTAACTCTTGCTTGTTTTGGTCTTCTTCGTTTATATTTTTCAACACTTCGTAATTAATCTTGGAAGATATTTTCTTCTCAAGCAGCATTTTCTCGATTGCTTCGCCTAGTGGAGAGGAGAGTAGAAGATTTGGTAAATTTTAAGTATGTCAATATGAATATAAAAAAGAAAAATATATATAGAGATCAATTTACCCGCAGTATTCGCGGGAGTTTTATGTTTCTTCGAAGTCGTTCTTCTTCTTTTTTTCTCAGGTTTACCTTCTTCTTTTTCCTTTAAACGTTTTTCTTCTTTTTCTTTTTGTTGCACAAGATACTCGGCATTTACTTTATTCCAAAGGGCGGATTTAGATTGCGATTCTTTTTCCGAAAGTATATAGCTGTCCAATTCCTCATCATCGATATCATTTGTGATGATTCCTTCAGAAAACTAAAGATAAACCTTCTTGATTATCTCGAGATATTTAACATGCGATTTAATACTCGCGATGCTTCTTTACATAATAATAGCATCATAGATTTACAATTCAACTCGACGAGAATAAAAGGGACAAACTTACATTTTCAAAGTTACTATTCTCCTTGCTGGGTTCATTCGAATGGTTACTCGCACCTATCATAGATGCTATATCGGGACCTGCGGAAGTATTAAAAGAACAAAAAATTGAAAACGTGTTGGTAAGAAGTATATACATATAGTTTTTGTATGGGCACACATGTATACCTAATCCAGTTATAAGTGGGGTATTATTTTCATCTAAAACATCATTTCGAACTTTTTCATCGGGATCGTCAATATTATTTTCGACATATCGTTGGATTACACTGAAATTACTTTCTCGAATAAATCTATCCGTGTCCTCGCTCTCTATGGAAAATGCTGTAAAAGATATATAGATAAGACACTTGCCAGCACCATTGTATAAATAGGATGAATTAACCATCTGAAGTACAATATATTTGAAAGTTATTGAGATACATTTCAGATCATAGTCGTTCCATTTTGAGAAGGATAGAATTGTGTAGTCTGATACATCTCTGGTGAAATCACTTTCTGATAACTATTTCACTCTTTACTAGTACTGGTACCCACCATCATACTTGTATACTTTTATAATAAAATGATATGAGAAATCAATTGACGATTCTATTCCTTGTAAATATTATCAATTGTGCGTTTTTAAATCAATCCCTCTCGTCATTCTATACATGTAAAAGTATTAAAACGAAAATTGTCAGTGTATCCAAGGATATTATATTGTATTTCATATTTCACGTTGGAAATTGAAGTATAATTTGAAATATATCTCGGGCGCGCGCGCGTGTGTACACACTTTTTTTTCAATAGGTCATTTTCAGAATTTGTAGTAAATTCAGGAAATTACTGTGATTGTTAAATTCAAACTGTACTATCTCCATGATTCTCATGTTTATCAAGCTCAGTAAAGTATATAAGGCACATTCGCAGGAACTTCTTTCCTTCAACGACCTATTGAAATCATTCTGTATATTTTAAGTTGGTTATACAAGTTTATCTTGTATATCTAAAGAAATTAGCTGCTCTTTTTTGAAACATAATTTATTATTATTAAATAAATTAAAATGAAATGTATGCTACGAAGACACCATTAAAATTACCATCTTTCCGCTTTTTTACTTTCCCTATTCTATAGTCTTCCAATTGCCTATCAATCTCCGCTTGTAGCTCATTTATTTCCGTATCTATGTTTTCCAACTAAAAAAAAGAGAGGTGCCGTTAGAATTAAGGATAATTTATTACTAGAATATTAAAGTATATTATGTATGTACACCTAAAGTAATATGATTTCAAGACTGTCAAGCCTTGAAAAATGTTACACTTTCTAGTTGAAGAAGAGAGATTCTTACTCTTTGTAAACGTTCCCTATCCTTTTTACGGGCTGCTTTAAACGCTGGAGGATCTTGTTCCTCCTCCAGCTCGACTGTCATAAATTCATCCAACGTCAAAGCACTAGATGGTGTATCACCAAATTCCATCAATCTACAAATAAAAGAAGAGAATAGAAAGTAATATAAACGTTTAACAGATGTAAGTCTAGATATTTGGAAAGAATATCTTACCTTTTGCGTAGGGTAGATTCGTGTACCTTGACAATTTTTATAATGTCAGCGGTTGATCTGTTGAATTCATGTAACCGCGCAGCTATTAATAATGCTGTTGCAGAAAACAAAAGAGATGTACATATGTATACATGCGTACGTATAATAGAGATATGGTCAAATTGATTGAAAATGTTTACCTGCGCCACATAGGCCCGAGGGCCTACGGCCGCTATGAATACTATCCCTCTTCATTCTTTGAACGACTCTTAAAGCCGTCATCGACACGGAGTGAGTTTTTTCACCAAACTCGAGCTTGTGCGCAAACCTCAAGATGTATAAACAAGGATCTAAACGGGGAACAGATAGAGACAGAAATGTATTTTCTCATTGAAATATTTTACGTGATGTATTTAAACTCTCGCGCGCGAGTGTACGTTTTGGAGCTAGGCTGGAGCTAGTTTAATATGCACAGCTAAATACCGAAAGACAAAGTAGCGATGCTTCGAAATTGTTTGTGGTCGATGTTTCATCGACGCATTCATCGCGAGAAACTCTACGCGCGAATGCACACGCGCTCTTTATTAGAATTAATTTGCTCTCAGTATCCCGAAATTGCAAAACGGTAGAGGAGATTAATTTCTCTCATTCGGTTCAACCCGCTCTTTTAATCTACTCTACGAAAGATGCTAATTATCATCGGACACGTCTATTATTACATACATATATTCGTATCCTTCCTGCTCTCTCATTGATATTTTCATCGTCGGTCTCGAGTCGAAATTTTGGTGCAATTTTGACACTTTGAGAATAATTTACACCTACTTTTAGCCGATCTATACACCTACATAGACCAATAATCTACTTTGACACTATATTTTTTTACTCCTCCCTTGAGTCTTTAATTCTAAAAATTGACTTTATCGCCTACCTAAATGGACCTACTTTAATGCTAAATTGGCAAAAGTAGAAATTTCCGACACTATCAGCTTTAAAGTAGGAGTACATTTTGTACTTGCAATTCGACCCCTTTTACTGTTTTAGGTCCTACTATACAGGGTGTCTCAATTTAGGGGGACATAAGGTGGTACCATTGACTTGACCTTGAATCATTTGAAGGTCGCGCGAAGGTCACTTTTAATTTTTTTAATGGAACCCCCTATTGTTTATTATACTATCTTATTCTAATTAATATGAACAACTTTTGTCTGAATCATTTTTCGATTTGCCTTTAGCTTATGATATCTCGATAACTGTTCGTCGGAGGGGAAAGTAATACAGGACTTTTTGACTTGATTTAGTCTCAGGAATGTGCTGTTGCAACAGTGCTCCAATTATTGTACATTTTTGTGTACGTAAATTTCGCGTTACAACACGCAAAAGCTCTACTGCTAGCTCTTGCGAGTAAGATGGGAGAAGATTGGAAGGAACATTGGGAGCAGAATACAGAAAGGATAGATTCAAGTAATAATTGTGTTATTCGGAGAATAACTCATTCTTTCAAGATGCTAATTGTACGTGCGATCAGCGTCGATGGGCGCTCATTCCACATACTATTCGCGCGGGAATCATCTCTCTTCTTGAGGCACAGAATACATGTCTCGTGTACACACGTCTAACAAATCATTTTATACCTTAAAGTGTACATAGTATAATAAATTATTAATGGTTTTTCATCGAAAATAGACTTCGGTTCTTCTATCATGTATGAATAACGTATGTATACATGTTTATTAAGAGTCATTTTCGAAACTGCTGTCATTCCCAGTTTAAAACTCTTGTACTTTTTACGACTTTTATCAATGATAGCATTTAGGGGAGTAATTGGATTAGAGGATGAAAAGGCCGCGTTATATTATATGCGTAATTAAAGATATATTTATTTCGCATATACACATGTATATAACGTATACAACATAAAGTGTAGAACGATACAGCTGAAATAAACCGCTGAGAGATAAGTGTTACGGATGGGAAAACTGTCTTTTTGCGCGTGTGTACCCCCCCGGTGCGCCCCTCCCACCACTTTCTCATCGCTCGATGCTATCGACCGACGCGCGTTGCGATAACGGTGGTGGGTGCCGGGTGGCTGGGCGCACTGGGTGGCTGGGCGGCCGGGTGGCTGGATGGCGGCACTTGGCGGCACTGCCTCAACAGGCTCCAACTGCTCGACCAGCGCCCGCCGTTGCGTCGCGTAGCGTACACTGTATGGAAAATGGCGACCGCCTAGCCGACGACGTACACCATCTCCCGGACTAGTTTTGTGAACCGCGCGCGCACAAGAGGAGATTACGACGGGAAAGGAGAGGTTGACGTCACCACTCGAACGTCGACGACGATGGCAATGTCGAATCTCTACTCCAAGATCTCTACCAAGCCAATGAAGCGTTTTCAGGACAACGTCGCGGTCAAACAGACCAATGCTTGGATGAACGGTGAGAGAGAGAGAGAGCGAGAGAAAAGGGGGGAGAGGGAGGGGGGAGGGAGAGAGAGAGAGAGAGAGAGAGAGAGAGAGAGAGAGAGACGCACAAAGACGCGGAGTGAAAGACGGAGAGGAGGAAGAGAGAGAGAGAAAAGAGAAGTTAAAAACTTTTAAATCTTAGTTAATTTTTGTTTATGCCTTTATATATTATTTATGTCGAATAAATTGTTATGTAATAAAGAAGAAATTGTCAATTCATGTCCATTTCACGCAGTCATTACGTTGTGCGTTGATAAAGAGTCAAATAGAAGAAAAAGATATCGCGTTTTTGTTAACGAATGAAAAGTACCCGACAAGGCGGAGAATGTAAGTGCATTTCGAGTGAAAGAAAATGCCGGAGGCGTCAGTTTATTTTACAGTTTTAAAAGTGAACAGCACCCTCTCGACACTTGTGTAATTTCCTATTTTGAGGCATCTACACTATTTTACAACTTGTGTTGAATCTCTTCGGCGAACAATATTGAATTCCTCGGGTTGTAAGAGACGATCGTTTTATTTTAGAGTAACGCAAATTGCAAGAAAAACTGACTCGTCTCAATCCGTAATTGAAACAATTAAAGTCAATTGCCTGAGGAACGAAATTAAAAAAAAAAAAAAGAGGACGAATCGATACGATTTCGCGACTATACGCTTTCTACTTGCCTCACGGTTTGCGTATCTCCGTGCACACCCGCGAAACGCACCCCACGCGCGACGAAACAAAGTGCGAAATTAATTTTCCCACATTTCGCACCGTGTGCGCGCGTCAATGTATCGTTAAATCCGTGCGAGCGCGGATCTGCGCGAATCGAGAGATGCGGACGGAGACGCACATACGTTCGCGGATTCGTACACGTATGTACCCACATTATATACACGTATATAAATACAAGGGCATGTGTATCCGCTACTTTACGCATCACTCACGTCTCTCGCTCCGTCGCCAATGTCGCCATGCACGCTCACGTCAGTGTCGCGAAAAAGTGTCCGTTGCCGTCTTCGACGTCTGCTACGAGACGATAACAATCGGGAATACGGAGATCAATGAGAAAGAACTGGGTGAAAGCCACCGCAGATTGTCGCAACGTTATTTCTGGACGACGCATTAAATGATGTATACTGACGGTAAACAATACGATTTGTGTAACAATCGGCGCACGACAGATTTCGCGCTTCCGTGGCTCCCTGCCTTCGCTCGAGGGCCCTTCGCGCGAAAGCGGTGTAGGACGGACGTGTCTTGGATGTGCTCGAAACACTCGGAGGGGAAAATGTTGCGCGAAAATTTCAGAGCCGAGGAAACCCGACCTAACCTAACTCGCGCGTCTCCTCGCACGCGCGCACCAACGTATCTCTGCTGAATTTTTATATGATTATTGATAGTTTCTTTGAGCAATTTCTAATGGATTTTCGCGACGATTCGACGCGACGCGCGAGATACCGAAGGTGGGCATAAAAATAACGAAACTGAAAGAACCAGATAAGGAGCCAGGGGGTCAATTCTGTATCTTCCCTAGCAGCACAGTGCATTGGCTAAACATTGGCCCAACACAGCCAAATAGTGGGCCAATGTTTAACCAATGTTTGATCAATGCACTGTGCTACTAGGGTCGCGCTACAGTGAAGATGCTAAAAGCTAGTAGCTGTCTCATTCCAACTGTCCCCTTAAGGCCTGTGTCTACGATGCTATTCCATAAAAGCTGCAAGTTGATTGGCTACACGTTTCTCAAAACTAGAACTTGGACCAAGTTCTAGCATCGTGGACTTTGGCCTTTAGAAAGAGACAAGGCCACTGACTTTCAGCATTTTCACTGTATCGCAAGATACAGAATCGACCCCTGGAATTGATGCCCGAGTCTAGCTTTGCAGAGAAATGACACGTTTGTACAACAGAAGGATACAGATTCGATGTAGGATATGGCGTATACCATTGGCAAGATGGTTACATTTCTAAAGCCTTGTGTCCACGATCCAAGAACTGTGTCCAAATTCTAATACCGAGAAATGCGTAGCCAACCACCTCGCGGTTCTTATGGAGTAGCCGCAGGTTGATTGGGTACACATTTCTCGAAACTAGAACTTGGACCAAGTTCTTGGATCGTGGACGCAAGGCTTAATAAATATGCATTGGCTTTCAAGCTTTCGCGGCTGCTGTCTTCTTCAGTCGCAATAATGGCTTCCGGATGGTTGCCGCGTCCGTTTGCAGTTTGGTGCCAGATATATAAGTGTATATCTGTGACACGATGAAAAAAAATTGCCTTTTCTCTGAATTGCAGCGGAATCTCCAAGTAACACATCAGATTCACCACCCTCGGTGAGTCCGCTCTCTTCGTCTATCGTCTTGCAACGCGAAGGAACCACCGTGAATCAGCCACTGAGCGCACCCGCGTCGCCCCTGTCTTCCTTGTCGTCGCCCTTGGCTCAGTTAAATCTATCATCGCCCGGAGATTGCACCCAAGATCCCAACTGGCAGGCAACGAAACCTACCGTCCGAGAACGAAACGCGGCTATGTTTAATAATCATCTTATGGCCGACATTATATTTATCGTCGGCAGCCCAGGTACTTGGAAATTGCAAAATTTCGCCCAGCTCCTTTTTCTCAACCGTTGCTCACTCGTGTCAATGCCGTAGGTCACACGCAAACGATACCAGCGCACAAATATGTTCTCGCCACTGGCAGTTCTGTATTTTATGCCATGTTCTACGGAGGGTTGCCAGAAAATAAAAGAGACATAGAAGTGCCTGACGTCGAGCCAGCCGCCTTCCTTGCGTTACTGAGGTAGGCTTTAACAGCTTGAGTGATTTCTGTATATCGTATCGTTGTATTGTACACAACGTTACGATATCTGTCATAGCGAAAGTTCGCCGAGATAAGCCACAAGGTAGCTCCGTACGATAAAATGACGTTTGTTTTAGGTACATGTATTGCGACGAGGTGCAACTAGAAGCAGATACAGTTCTGGCGACGTTGTACGTCGCGAAAAAGTACATAGTCCCACACTTGGCACGGGCGTGCGTCAATTATCTGGAAACGAGTCTGACGGCGAAGAACGCGTGCCTGCTTCTAAGTCAATCTCGCTTGTTCGAAGAACCGAATCTCATGCAACGTTGCTGGGAGGTGATTGATGCACAAGTAAGTCAAATGCAACGGACGCTAACAACCATTACTTTGAGTGACAACAACTTGGACAGAATGCTCACGAACGAAGATGACTCGAGTCCCTCTAGTGACTCGGTCAATCACATTTCGAGCTTACACTCTTGTGTTTGTGACAATAAACTCGACAGTCTGCGATACCGGCGTGCATGTAAAAGCAATGGCGGACTGGACCATTGTGACAATTGCGAGAGTTTCAAGGGCAGATTATCGATAGTGCCGCACTGTTTGAGTCTCTCGGAAAACGACTGTTGTACAAACGTTCTCGCGGACGAGCACTTGTCCCTCTCGCTTTTCCGAACGCGAAGTGAACCTTATTTCCCGGACAATAAATTAGACCAGATTGAAGTCACGCAAAATATCATGTACCAGGATAATTTGATAGACGAATACGAGCGCGGTAAAAGCAACCGTCTCTCGAACGATGTCTCGAGTACAGCGACAAATATTTCAATCAATCGAGTAATCAGCTAAACAAAAGTGAACCAACTTTTACACTATATGTATTCAATTGTATCTCGAATACTCTTCAAGCACGTGACTGCATACCGCTCAAGTGGAAAAAAAAGATTATCATTCGTTATTCTTTGTTCTCTCTTTTTCCCGACTGCATTTATACTACAACAATAATGTTATTTAAGCCACAAACGGCTTTTGTGTTCAAGCTGTGACAGCTCTAGCGCTCTAGTACTAGCGTTGAGACATTACCAGTACGTATTTGCGGTGCACATTTATATTCAACGTGTAACTCGGAAGTAGTGCGCGGTGCAGTCCACCTGACGATACATTTTCACTTTGAACGTTTACGTTTTTCAATCGAATCTTGCACATTTTGAAGAAGGTACGCGTTGTTTCTCGCGAAACAACCTCTATGTAATATGCTTTAAGCTTCCTTTCGAATAAAAGTAATCGGCAGAATTTCTTCAAGGGGGAAAAAGAAGAAAAACACGTACGCATACGTGCAATACCTGTAGGTGTATGCAGCAAGCGTTAAAGAGAGGTCACAACGTCATTTATATCATTCAACACTCAATCATTGAATGTGAGAGTAATTTAGATAAGAAGCTTTCTATTGTTTTGAACGATATGAGTACAATGAGCTCGTACACTAACATAAAGTGTGTGTGTAGCATATGTTAACGTTAACTAACGTTTGTTTTCATTTACGAAAAAGACTGCAAATTTTTTGAAATATATGTTACTCATTAATTATTATTATTATTATTAAATACTTCTATCGAGAATACTTTCATAAACTTTGTATCAAGTGTAACAATTAAATAAGGCGAAACAACTTGAATAAAATTGGTCGTTTCTCAATAAACAATGGAAATATTTGTTATTTATATTTTATGACCGATTTTGTAGCGACAATTCCCTCCACTCAATGTACAATATATAAATATATATATATATATTTCTCAACTAGTTTTATAAAATATTTATATATTTTGCCGATTCTTTATTTTCTCATATAACAAATTTTTATAATACTTTTCAAATTGTTATAGCCGTTTTCATAAAAAGATTTGGCGTAATGCTTCAACCCCATTCCGTTCGCATTTTTTCATATACTGTTCAGCCTTATTATCAAGCCTTGACACGAACGAATTGAATGAGAATAAAAATGTCCCTCCCCTTTCTGTCGACAGTCGCGAGAGAAAGGTTTTAGTCTCATCAAATTACTTTATTAATGCTGTATCGTACAAAAATTATTACTTTTAAAAAGAGATCGGTGGCGCATACGTACAAGAACAAATTACAAAGACAGAAAAGAAAAAAAAGAGGTGGCGTGCACAATCGCTACGCACGCTATGTGGAATTATGATTTAAATGCATAAGCTTGGTACTTTTATTACGAAACGGTTCACAGATCTGTTTAGGATAAATTCTAAATGATTAGGTATACAGTGTAGCCGTCGGGATACAATACAGTATTAAGCATATTAAGTAAGAGTGATGTTATGTGAACTTTAACATTAAGTACAATCTATTGTATGACAGGCAGAAATGGCCCTAAGATCTGACGGTTTTGTGGATATTGATATTCATACACTCGAATCGGTCTTGTCTCGAGAGACATTAAACTGCAAAGAAATTCACATATGGGATGCTGCCTTACGATGGTCTTCTGCGGAATGCATACGGCAAGATGTCGAGCCTATTCCCACCAATCAGAGGCAATTGTTAGGTAAGATGAGCGCCGATATTTTCTTTTTCAAAATAATTGTTAACCCACTCTACGCGCACGTGTGTGTGTGTGTGTACGCGTGTACATTTTTTCTCTTTATTTTTTAGGATCTGCCTTGTATTTAATTAGACTACCCGTTTTGAATCTCGAAGAGTTCGCAAACAGTGCGGCACAGACAGGAATCCTAACGCATCAGGAAACAATCGACTTGTTTTTGCACTTTACGGCCAGTAATAAACCACAACTTTGTTTTCCTACCAAGCAACGCCAAGGACTGAAAACTCAGGTGAGTGAAAGTCACATATTATGTCTCCTCACCTGGTTAGGTGAACATTGAACTCCTCGCCTCACGGGTCATATTTGTATCGTATCGAGAGAATAAGACTTTGTGAACAAGTTTCAAATGAGCACATCGCGCGGTATCTCTTTGACGGATAATCACAGTACGAAATCACAGTCGAAACATCAACACATTTGGCGCGCTATCGATATGTGTGATTATCACGTTTCGCGCCAACGGCGATAATAGCTAGCTAGTGTTGAGAAATAAACCATATTCTTCGCAGGTTTGCCATAGATTCCAATCCTGTGCGTACAGGTCAAATCAGTGGCGATACAGAGGTCGTTGCGACTCGATTCAATTCAGTGTTGATAAGAGAATATTTGTGGTGGGTTTTGGACTGTATGGAAGCTCATCTGGTGCTGCCGATTACAACGTCAAGATAGAACTTAAGAGACTCGGAAATGTTCTGGCGGAGAATAACACCAAGTTCTTCTCCGACGGTTCGAGTAACACGTTTCACGTATATTTTGAGAACCCGATACAAATCGAGCCGGAATGCTCGTACACGGCAAGTGCAATATTGGACGGTGGAGAACTGAGTTTTTTCGGTCAGGAAGGCATGTCGGAAGCGACAGTCGGCAGTGTGAACTTTCAGTTTCAGTGCAGTTCCGAGAGCACCAACGGCACCGGTGTCCAAGGGGGACAAATCCCCGAATTAATTTTCTACGGGCCACCATCCGACGATTGACGGAAGATCGCAATCGAGCTTAATTGCTAATGGTTTGCAATATAAAAAAAAAAGACAGATTTAGATGACGACATTCGTCATTCGGCCAAGGAGGGGCCGGGGAGGAAGGCGTAAAGTTCTCAGACACGTGGGAAAGGAACGCGTGCGAATTTCACAAGTATTCCGATTTATCAGTATTTCAGAGAATTCAGATTCTCAGATATGAATATTTAAATTTCAAATCGAAATAGCTCTCAAATACTCAGTATTCGGGAATATATTCAAATTCCCCAAATAAAAAAAAAATACCTTTTGGGAAAATCCAAAGAATGATACAATTAATAGGGATAAGAGTAGAACAAGAATGTTGCGTCTAATATTTTCAGATACGCAACTGTATCTATTATCGATTCTGCTTGCGGAAAACTATTTTTTCTAATGTAAATACAGTTAATTTAATACTGTTGCGGATGTTTCAGCGAAATTATCCCTCTCCTAAGATGGAAATATTGATTAAACCTTATTTCAGACGTGTCTGTTTATTAATTAACGAGATGAAATTATGTTTATTTAAATTTTAGATTATGCACCAAGAACTATTTATTCTACTGTTATCAATTAATTTTCTTAATGAATATACGATTGAAACAGAATGTTATAAATAAAAAAATTTATTTCAATTCCGAAAGAACGATATCAAACTTTAATGTGTGCAATTTACTGATGCGATTCGTTCGAAAATCATATTTTCGTAGAAGACAAAAAGATGTACAGTATATCATGCAATCTGAAAGTAACAAGTGATGTATATTTAAAATTACATCTTCGTTATTTAGACAGTTGTTTTCAAGACTTTTGACGTTTTAATATCTGCCATTATCGTTATTGTCCGTATTTATACAAATAATTATTTAGTTGACGTGACACTTTCAAAAATTTTCAAAGTATCTTTACCATTATCACTACTACCATTTCGTTCGTAAACTTGTGTAAATAACTTTGGAAAAGAGCATATCTATTTTTCTATGCACAACTAATAAATATGCAGCATTTTGCTCGATTTGCGCGAATGAATTTGATTTTTGTCTTGTGTCGAGTAAAAGAAAATGGTTATTAAAAAAACAAAACTGTAAATACAGGTATCTAGGATACTAATAGAGTATAAGGAGAAGAGATCTGTCAGAGAGCGCGTAATATAATCGCTTCGACTAAATACTTGAAATGTACTCACCCTAATGTAAAGAGTATTATTTAATTTGAAGTAATCTCTCTCTATATACATGTGAAAAGTATAAATAAATACTATGGCGATGCGCATGTAATTATGAAGTTGTGAGTATCGTTAAACAACGTTACGTGAAAATATGTTCAAGTGTAATCAATGATGTGTGTTTGATTTAATATCCTGAAATTTGGCAATCCTTCCAAAAGTATCAAGTACACCTAACATCTTTTTATACTTTATCGCTGATATATTATTCTATTAACGTAGCTAACGTATGAGATAACCATAAACCACTCGGAATGTAAAGTGTATAACGAAAAGTCCTAAAAAGTATAAGATCTCGCTCACAGTTGTATCTCCAGATATTTCATGATGATCAATACGATCTGAAAAAAGTCTGGCCTTGTTTCTAGAGACACGAGATAATCTAACGTGGAAATTTTACAAATGAAAAACGTAAAGATCGATATATGTTGCAGTTTCTTAATTTACAGTATCGATTTTAATAATACTTGTGACACAAAATAATGCTCGCTGTAACACAAGTCATTTCATTTGAAGTGTAACAAATGTTGGACAGTCTTTCAGATGGTTTTGTAGTTTATACGTATAATCACTCATCTCACAACAAAACTGTAGAAAAATAATTATTTTGTATACAGGGTGAGGAAAAAGTATGGAAACCCCGACAGTTTTCGAAAACTATGCATTTCAGAAACAAATGTTTGAGACAAAAGTTGTATGGTTTCAAGGGGGACATAAGATTGGTTTGACCTTGGATAGTCGTTTGAAGGTTGCCTGTAGGTAATCTTGAATTTTTTAAAATGAAAACCTGCATTTTTATTGTATCATATTTTTCTATTAATTAATTGAAACAACTTTTTCAATAATTATCGTACGATATCTTGGTAACTGTTTATCGTGAGGCAAGATGATACAGGACTTTTTGACTTGATTTGGTGTCGAGAATATGCTGTTGCACTAGTACTCCAACTTTGGTAAACATTTGCGTACACATCTCCTTAAAGTTTTCATGTGTATACAATTTATAAAAATTGAAATTATTATTGAATCGACTGTTTTTGTTTCTACAACCAAAATTTATCCCACTTACAGTTTCTATTTCTCAAGATAACTCTCCTTTTCGTACATACTCGTACACGAGTGTTTAATTACGCATGTACTATACTGGACAAGATGAGAAAATAAACGCTTACGTTATAAAATGTCATGCAAATCACTTACCCACTGCTGGTATGTTGATACACAGAGCTTGGGTAAATCGCAGATATGTCCGTCCGAGTTCGTGAACGCAGATATGGAGAATATCACTGATGTCGATGAGCAAATCTATATATACACACATATGTACATACGTATAAGTTAAGAATTAATATTTTCTCCCTTTATACACTGCCTCTTTTCCGTATCGTGTTGTTTTATACTCTGAGCTCTGCATAAATAGTATACAATCAAACTCTACGTTAACTTGATAAAAAGTTTTTGCATGCTTAGAAAGAGCACAAGGATATATTGCTTTCACGTAGAATATTCACGTTATACTATTGTTTTTTTAAACAAAAGGATACGTTCAGATTTCTCCATGCGGCAGGTAATATATACACAGGCAGCCTGGTTGTGAGCTTGCTTCCTTCCACGAGTCAAGTGTTGATGCAGAGCCATTTTATAAAAGTTGACAGATGTATCGATGTAATTTTGACCCAGGCTGGAGCATAAATCGAGAAATCAGGTGAAACAATTATAACAAGTTAGTAAAACATTTTCCCTCTTCGTCGTGAACGTATTGTGATGTTTACCTACCCTAATTGTAGGCAAAGATGCGTTATGCCTTTCCGTGCGTTTTGTATAGTAATTCCTCTAGATTCTTTCCCATTAACGTAACAAGCTGTTGTAAGCGAAGAAAGTATATTAATAGTGTACTTGACAATTGTTCAAAGGGTGTATAATATTAATAATTAATAGCGACTTACATGCACCAAAATTTGTAGCGCTACCCGTGCTATCGTTAGGGACAAAGTGCCCAAGTACCATTACTTTACCAGACGACGACTCCTCGAAAGTTGTTTGACTAATAATAACTGAATCCTCTAGTACAAAACCACATTCTATGCAAATTGCGTCACCACGTCCTGGATCGGTCTCAATATTGGTAGATCCGCATTTCCGACACTTACTTCCAGACATCTGATGTGACAATAGATACGCAATAAAATGTAGCATCTTAACACGCACGTCGCGTTAAATTTATTAATTAAGATCAGTCGCGATAAAACATATAGAATTAGCAGCACGGCATATTCGCCAAGGGAATTTTCTCACTAGAGTTATAGGTTAAATAAACATGTTTCGTTACGCACCTTTAGTTAATTGTGTTTAAACACGCGTAACCAAGTTAATGCCTGCAAAAGTATCGTCCGACACTTATCGTCGCGAGTAAATCACGCGGAAGTTACAAATCGCACTGTGCGTATCGAATCGTTCGACACGCACGCTCGATCGCGTGTGTCTTCCGTCTTTCTCTTTGCCTACTTCAGACCCTTGAGACTTCACTCGCGAGTCGCGCGTGCTCGCTCACTCACGCACGCTGTGCCCCGATGCGCTGCGAATGACATATACACATGCGATATCCAATAGGAGAGTTTGTTTTCTAAAGAGCACATCGGCGCGGCGGACGGCAGTGTGAATCTCGCATTATCCTCAACATGAAAAATGGCGACGAGTGGCATCAGAGAGAAGCCTGAGAGATGTCACGGCCCCGTTTTTCGTGATACGCGAATGCGATACGCCCTCTGTGGACATTGAAAACGTGGACATTGAACTACGTAGCCAATTTGCACATTTTGCTAAGTGGGCAACGCAGATTTGCGAAATTTTGGTTGCGTTTCGTGCTATAATCAGGTCCTGTGCGATGCTCTTGTACTTAAGATTATTTTAAGTACAAG